TGAGCATCTTCAGTGGGGTGGGGGGTCAAAAGATTTAGACCATCTGGGGTTTTTTGTTAAAAAATTTTTTTCAAATAAACTAATTACTTATGTTGAGTATAGAATTTGTAATGAAATTAGATAAATATATCAAATAGCAGCATTTACAAATGTATACTGTGTGTAAAAAGGATCTGAAAGGATCTGACTCAGCTAAATAACCACAGGAAGCAGAAAATGCTTACATCATCATTAGGGAAGGCCAGCAGACCAGGAGCTCCATGATCAGTGAAGTACACAAACACATGATCATTTGGACCACTGCCAGGAGAAAGAACAAAAAAAATACACTGAAAAAGGAAAGCACGGTATATCACAAGACCTGTTTTCCCACATATCTGCCTCAACATGCACAGAGACAAAAGCAACAGATTTCACAGGGCAAAAAATTTAGTAAGACACTACAATTTATCAAAAGCTAATTTACATTTCAAAACACACACCACCACCAACCCCACCCCCCAAAGAAAAAAAAAACATGCTAATGACCTCTAGCCCCCCTCTGCCACAGTTTTTATGGTAACTTGCCTTTTCAGCACTTTTCCAGAGCCTCCCTTTACACTAGCAGCATCACCTTTCAACACCGCCAGGAAGTTCTGAGGAGTCACGTCCTATATCACAAACACACACACACAATATTAATGAATGGACAGCAAACACACCATTTACCAACTCAAATCTCAGATTCAGAGGTGCACGTTGACTCACATCACCAGTGTAGTCCTTCAGCACTCCTTTGTAAACATCCGTTCCATTGGGTCTGTTTATGATCACTCCTGGAGTAGGGTTACTGGACACAAACAAAAACAGTCATATGAACCTCTGCACCGAAAAGGCTTTTGGTTTTTAAGGAGCAAAACTGGTTATAAACTAATTATAAAAAGCATAACAATTATAAAAAATATTGCAAACAATAATAAAGAAAGACCTCTTTTTCTCCTCTTATCAAACATAGGATAAAATTTAACCACAAAACCATGTGACTAAACCAACTATAACCACAGCTATTTCTTTCATACTTTAATTTAGCTGGAACACCTGACCTACATATGAATTCACAAAAAAGCCACTAAAGCAATAAATGGACTTTGAATATTGTTTTGGACATAGGATGGCATTGGAGTCAAAAAGGTTGAGAACCACTACATTACACTACAACCAATTTGTTTAAATCATACAAGTCATACTCACTCTGTGCTCTGAGCAAGATCGTCATACATCATCACCACAATCTGCTCATCGGGAATTCCATACCTATGGACAATCTGATATGCATGGCACACGTCGGCCTATACACACACACACACACACACACACACACACACACACACACACACACAAATAAAACACAATAAAAATCTAAAAAGACTTCAGATATGACAACTGACTAACAGTTTGGAAAAACCCATGTACTTTTTCCACCTCAAAGATCCAGGTCCACTCTCACCTGGTGTCTGTAATTGTACCAGCCATTCGATCCGGCCACAATGACGACCCAGTGCTTCCCGGTTTCTGGCTGCTCGGCAGGAAAACCACTCACTACCAGCCCCAGGCTTAGGGCGAGACCTAAAACCGCTACTATCTGGAGACTCATCTCTGCGATCTACCTGGAACAGAGATGAAAAATAATCGGAGAAAAACATCATGCTTGCTATTATAAGTTTAAAGATTGTAAATTTCCTTTAAAAGGCATTTTTATTGGTCATACTGCAAAAAGTAGTATGACAATACAGTACTTAACTTAATGACTTTCATTTTGCTAATAATATAATATACCTGTATATTATAATATAGGTATATTGTAAATATCCAACTCACTTTAATTTTCCCTAAGCCTTTATAGTTACACAAATTAGGCAGTGTTGACTTTATCATGTGTCAACACAGGCCCTATATAGAGTCTGTTTACTGTAAGGCAGAGATAAAGCATGAAGTGTGAAATTTTACAATCTGTGATCTATTGAGTGACCTTTTGAGTTAATTTATCAAAAGTTTCACACTATGCTGTACATTTCATATTTACAGAAATAAACCATAGTTAATTAATACAGTTATTGTTACTACTATAAAACCATAAATCTCCTTCCAACAGAATAAGATTCTATCATTTGGTTAGGTTAAATGTCTTATTTAAGATGATAATGGTAGCAAATACTAATTGTGGAAATAAATTACTGTAACTTTAAAAATGACTGTTTACTGAGGTATATTTTTGTAAGTTGTCTCGTAATCATCATATAAACAAGGACATCAGGCTTCAATAATAACACAGGCCATAGGGGGGATTTAAACTGTACTCCTGTTAGCTGAATGTGGTATTTACCCTGGAGTTGATTAATTATATAAACCACAACCAAACAAAATGAGTAGAGTAATTATTAAATAAAAAATAATCGTAGTTTCAATGCTCTTACCTGTTCTGTAGGCGCTGCCCGAGCTGCCTGCACTGGAGCTACTCGACGCTTTATTACACACTATGCTACGAAGACGCAAGCGAAGCAGCCAATCAGCGCAAACGGGCTCCATGCGCCATCCAATCAGCTCAACACGGCTTCGTGCAGCATCCAATCACATTTGACTCCTGGGCGGAGCCTCAACTGACCGCGTGACCAGTCGGTCATGTGCTACGAGTTTGGCTGAAAACAAAACAAGAATAGAGGAAGCTTTTCGAAAATGTAGAAATAAGAGTAATGCTTTGAAGTGGTCTACCATTTGACAAGGAAAGTCGTTATGTACGTTCAGGGGAAATGCCTCAGCTGTTTTAGGGGATTTAATAATTGGTTAGAAAAAGCGTTATTAATAATTTTTACCGAGAAGCCTCAGCATAGATACCTGCCCTTCTTTTTTTTAATCATCTGGGCAGAAAATAATCGAGCACATGATCATGTCATCATGCTATTTCACTACAAAACGCATATTTTTATAGCTGGGTTGATCTCACCTGTTGTGCTGGTTTTACAGGTGTTGTAATAGCAACCAGGAACAGACTATTTTACATGCAATGCTGATACAAATAGACCTGATATTCACTGTTGTTTCAGATCAGGCTATAATGATCTGTACTATTTCTCACTGGTAAATCCTTTCTGCAGCTTCTAAAGTAATCTACCGATACTGATTCTCAACCTTTAGGCAAACTTATTGAGACAATGGTTTAATTATGAATTACACCTGTAAAACTCTAAATTATCGTTCATAATTCTAGATTTAACTTAGATGACAAAAACCTCTGTTCTGGAACTCGCAGATCACTGTGAAACCTTTGACACCAAACATGCTTTTTATCTTAGCAATAAATACACCAGTATTAAGTCCCTTCACTGGGTGTCTAGAATTCGCTGTAAATTCTTCTGCAGGTGTACACATCTGTTGACAGCCACAAACAAGCTTATTCCTCAAAAAGTCCCCTCAATATTTGAATAGACCTTCAAATATCTCTGATATCTATTATCAGAGACCCCATGATAGTCTAAGCTATTTTAAAAAGAACGTGAGAAAAGTTTCATATAATGTAGCATATTTAGCTCAAGAAAAACTATGTCTGGATTACTTACAAAACCCGACTAATAATTGGAACATGAACAATTTATAATAACTTTCCTTCGTTTTTTTTGTTTGTTTGTTTTAAATCACTAAGACACATTTCTCAATACTTAAGTCACTTTTTCAAAACACTGCACTCCATTCAGCTTGGCACAGCAGCAAACTACACTTACCAAAATGCACTAACACTACCAAATCACTTCATTCATGTCTCAAATCAAGTCATCCTTCCATGACACTAACAAAGTTTGTCACCCACAAACAGTTTTTGTCACATAAACACTTATCAAAAGTTTCAAGACATTCATAACTATTTGAATGTCCATTAACTAATGATTTTTAAAGCATTTTATAATAATGCTTCTTAGTTATACATAATGTGTTACCAATATCTGATAAAGCAAATATAAATATCAAAAAGAAATCTATACTCCACAATCAGGAGTGAGGACTTGTTTAGTTTGTTATATTATGAAATTACTCCTTCTGTCACTGTTTCTTAACACAAATTGATAAGAATACTTAAGTGTAATAGGACACCAGTTAAACAGGTTTAGCACACTGTGAAATTTAACATTTTCCCAAAAAGCTCTTTATTTTTTCTATTTTGAGATATCGGCTTTATATACCAATTGCTTTTCGTTATCCTAAAGACATGGTACCGACATATACAGATTATGCCAGTGACCACAGCCAAAGCAATGAATCACTGCACTTAAGTATAAAAACATTAGTGATCAGCAAATGGAGCCATTTCCTTGTTAACCACTCTCTGGTTTGTGTCGTCTCATGGCTATTTTTAAGGGCTTCAACATTCACATGAATATGAGTTCATGCCCCAGATGCATTTCAAGTCATCCTTCTCATAAAAGAATAGCATCAGTCACTTGGGAACAGAACTAAATAATATTTATGCATTGTCTTTATTTGTCCTGTAAATGAAAAACAATATAACAAAATGTAAATACAATAATAAATATTTAAAGCCAAATCTTTTTACAGACACATTTATATATTCATACATAACTACACGTGGTTAAAAACCACTTCTGTTCTCAAGCTAAAGAAATAAATGGCAGAAAAGAATATGTCGATGATTTCGCATTTTGCATTCCAAAGGCATCGGTAACCATGGTGATTCAAACCGTAGAGGAATAAATAAGGTGTGATCTTAGAAAGTAGTGCACAGCTGCAAATCAAAAACAATACAAATCATAGTGCAAGTTAAAGTTTCTCATAACACCTCTCTGTTGTCAAATGAATCCTCAAAAAAACAAGGAAGAAGTATACGAATGACATAAGAGAGCTCTGTATCAGAAGCACCTGCTTCTGTTTTATCATCATCCTCATCGTGATCATCTGTCTGTCTTGGCAGCTAGTAAAAAACAGTCTGTCACATGATTCACTGCATGTCCAGGGCAGCACTGTGCACCTGACTTAATTTGGCAGAAATACAAAATAAAACTTAATTATAGCTGTAATAAAAAAACTCTTCTCTGCGTGTACATCAAGCTCGTTTGTAGTGTTCCCTGTGAGTTTTCATGTGTTTACAGACAGCTGATAGATGCATAGAACCTAAAAAAAACTGAATGAGACCGCAGCTGCTCGTAAAGGAGAGAAAAAGAGAGAGAAGAGTTTACAGGAGCTGATCTCTCATGCAGCATATCTGAGGAACACAAAGCAAGGCAGCTTTCTGTCCAGATTTGAGCAAGTGTGCTTCTTGCAGCGTGTGTGAGTGTGTATGTTCTCCATTTGCACGATTCCCTGGCTTCTTGCGCCCTGATCAGCAGCTGGAAGTGAGCGTGGCCTCATTCTTCCTCTGGCCTGACATTAGATGAGTGTGTCCTCACACTTCTGCCCCCAGTTCAATCACTCCCGTCTCTATAATGGGAACCAGTTTATCATCCACCTGGACCAGCAGGATGGTCTTATCAATGTGAGACCGACTAACCGGATCACGACTGCAAGGCACCCAACGATGAACCACCTATGTAGAGAGAGTGAGTAGTGGGAAATTAGGAAAGGGGGGTGAATATGGGGGGGGAAATGCTTAACTGTCCAAAAATATGGTCCTAAAACATGCTTGAATTCTTAAAAAAAGTATTCTCTTATTTTTTTTTCCTTTTGATTTCGATGTGAAATATGACTTAAAGGGGTCATATGATGCGATTTCAATTTTTCCTTTCTCTTTGGAGTGTTACAAGCTCTTGGTGCATAAAGAAGATCTGTAAAGTTGCAAAGACTAAAGTCTCAAATCCAAAGAGATATTCTTTATAAAAGTTAAGAGTCAACCACGCCTACCTAAAACGGCTCGTTTTAACACGCCCCCACATGTCTACATCACTGCAACGCGTAAAAACACAGTATAAGTCATTATAATCAATAATTATGTCCTCACTGGATGCAACAAATGCCTAGTTTGTAATGGGTTTTATTTGTTTTGTCTCGTCGCACCGGGACACACGGCATCACAGTATGGTATGGGACGTAACATTTCCGTCACACGCTTGAAGAATTCAGCCAATCACAACACACTGGATAGCTGGCCAATCAGAGCACACCTCGCTTTTCAGAACGATGAGCTTTGTAAAAATCGACGCGTTTCAGAAAGGCGGGGCATAGAGGAGAAACAATAATGTACATTATGTGGAAAATAATGTTTTTTTTTTTTTTACCTTAAACTGCATAAACATATTGCATTACACCAAATACACAACATAATGTTCTTTTTAGAAACATCATATGACTCCTTTAAGACTGGACATATTGTTTGGCAGGATTTTTCTGACTCACCCAATAAAAAAATAATTAAAATGGAATCTTTTTTTCCCTTTATTATTATTTTTTGTTTATTTTGCATTAAGCTAATGGGAATTTAGGAAAATATGCTTAATTATAATTTTAAAATATGCAAAGAGCCTATATATTTCTTATTTTTTCCTTTTGATTTTGGTGTGAAATATGACCTGGACAGTGGATATGTTCTTTGACAGGATTTGTCTGACTCACCCAACAAATAATGATGAAAATGGAACTACATTCTTCAATCATCATGCATTTTGGAAATCACCTGTCCCGTGGACCTCCAACTAAGATGGGCTCAGGAAAACTACAGCGACATCTAATGACATCCTAAATCACTCCAGGGGAATGATGCAGCCAAAAGTGTGTGACCCATACAGAAATGTAATATATGACACATATTTACCCTATATCAAGAGTGATATTGCCAAATATGTTTCCTATAAGGCCAGAAATAATTTTCACATAAGTACATTCTCTGGGTAGATGAAGGTATAAGTTTATCTGTAAAATCATATGCTTATATCTATATGATGATTTATATTTAGTATTATGTAGCAACCATTTATGTCAATAATATATATTTTATTTATATATGCAACTTTATTAAAACAACACAGTATATATACAAAAATATGTTTATATATGTTTTGTAATAAATGCATTTAAAACATTTATTTAAAAAACAAACATTTTTGTATGTATGCTGTTTTAATAAAGTTGCATATATAAATAAAAATATATTATTGACAAATAAAGTTGCTACATATATTACCAGCGAAGCCCCACTCTGACATGTAGCGCAGTTGCGCTTCAGACGACCCAAGTTCAAGTCCCGACTCAACCTTTCCCAATCCCATCCCCCTTTCCACCACTTCGCTTCCGGTCTGTCTACACTGGCCTAACACAATAAAGATTTAAAAAACATGTCTATCGTTTATATTTACTTAATACACATACATAAATATACAATAAGTTTATCTGTAAAATCATATGCTAATATCTATATGATGATTTATATTTAGTATTATGTAGCAACCATTTATGTCAATAATATATATTTTATTTATATATGCAACTTTATTAAAACAACATACAGTATATATACAAAAATATGTTTATATATGTTTTGTAATAAATGCATTTAAAACATTTATTTAAAAAACAAACATTTTTGTATGTATGCTGTTTTAATAAAGTTGCATATATAAATAAAAATATATTATTGACAAATAAAGTTGCTACATATATTACCAGCGAAGCCCCACTCTGACATGTAGCGCAGTTGCGCTTCAGACGACCCAAGTTCAAGTCCCGACTCAACCTTTCCCAATCCCATCCCCCTTTCCACCACTTCGCTTCCGGTCTGTCTACACTGGCCTAACACAATAAAGATTTAAAAAACATGTCTATCGTTTATATTTACTTAATACACATACATAAATATACATACTTGTATGGGCTAGATATATAAGTTAATATATGAAATTGTTCCAATTTCTTTTTACTTCATACAACAATATATTTTATATGGAAATGTAATACGTGAAAATATATTACATTTGGTTTTTTTAAAAACATTTTTCATTTAGCATTAATTTATTTTTATTTCTGTTTTAGTAATTTTAGTATTTAGTATTATTTTAAGACAATATTTTTAATTTTAGTTTTTTTTTTTTTTACTTCACTTTATTTATATATTTTATTTCAATTACAATAATTTTCTTTCATTTCAATTTCAAAAATTTCAGTTAACAATAACAACACTGGTGTGTGATATACTCACGTGACCCTCCATGCCTTCTAGGGGACTCCAGTCCCTCCAGAAGTTGCGTCCAGATCTTAGTCTCATGCTCTCATCTGGCCACACCAGCTCCTTCCTCTTGGGATGATTCATTACATCCAACACCTGACTCACATCCACAATCTACACACGATACATGCATATGCTTCATTATAAGATCAAATTTCACACATTTAAAGGGCCAAATACGAGAAATCCAGACGCTCACCTGCACCCTGTAGGAGATGTCATCCCTTCTCAGACAGGACAGCGAGGGATTGTAATGATGATGGTGGATGTAGTGAAGATGATGGTGGGGGTGAGGATGGTTGTCCGTCCCCAGCCCTAAGGCTTCGTTTCCCAGCAGGCTGGCGAGTGTGTGGGTGTGTCGTTTGCAAGGCGGGATGGAGTGGGCGGAGAGGGAGCTGGAGGGGCCGGGCGGGTCGGGGTTGGCGGCTGAGGCGTTGGTGCCCAGCCGGAGTTGGAGGGAGGTTGGCAGCGTGCGGAGAGAAAGCTGACTGCTGGAGGAACGTCTGCAGGGCTCCAGACCCGTCACAGACGTGCGGAGTGAAGACTGGCGGCTGCTGCTGTGACGATATGAGGACGACTGACTGATGACAGACGCACGAGCAGGAGACTGACGAACCAAACCAGACTGGACAGACTGAGAACTCTGACTCATACCTAAAGAGAGAGAGAGACTGTAGGTTACTTTCTTTCCTATCTATCTATGCATTTTTATCTTTTCATCTTTCCATCAATCTATCCATCAGTCCATCCATCCATCTATTTATCTATCTATCTATCCATCCTTTCATACGTTTATTTATCGTTTTATCTATCTACCCATGCATCCATTCATTAATCTATTTATCAATCAGTCTATCCATCCATTTAAACATCAATCCATTTATCTATCCATCAGTCAATCGATCCATTAGTTTATCTATCTTTTTATCCATCCATCCATCCATCAGTCTGTCCAATCCATTAATCTATCTATCAGTCCATCCATCTGCTTATCTATCATCCATCAATCTGTTTTTTTTTAAAATCTTTTTACACATCCATCCACCCATCAGTCTATCCATCCATCCATTTATCTAAATGTCTGTTCAACAAGATTTAAATTAAGCCTAAATAAAACTTCACAATCCTTCAACTTTTTACAACGCATTGTCACGCTCACCATCAAATTTAAAGTCTGTCCAATCCATTAATCTATCTATCAGTCCATCCATCTGCTTATCTATCATCCATCAATCTGTTTTTTTAAAAAATCTTTTTACACATCCATCCACCCATCAGTCTATCCATCCATCCATTTATCTAAATGTCTGTTCAACAAGATTTAAATTAAGCCTAAATAAAACTTCACAATCCTTCAACTTTTTACAACGCATTGTCACGCTCACCATCAAATTTAACTGAACTTGAGCAGTTCTGCAAAGAAGAGTGGGCAAATATTGCAAAGTCTGGATGTGCAAAATTAGTAGAGTCATCTCCCAACAGACTAAAGGCTGTAAATAAAGCAAAAGGTAGTTCAACAAAGTACTGACTCAAGGGTCTTATCCTTTTTCCAACTCAGTGATTCTGTTTTTACATTTTTTTCTGACATGTTGGAGTTATATCTTTCACTTGGATGTTATAAGTTGCACTGAGTAAATACAGCTGGATAAAACAAAAACTGTGTCCGTCTTCAGGCTGCAAAGCAACAAAATTTAATTATTTTAAAGGGGGTTGATTCTTTTCTATACCCATTGTATATGCAAATTATACAGTAAACGTGCGTGTGTACAACCAGCAAGTGACTGTGTTTACCCAGAGAATGATGTGTGTAAGCGTGCAGTGCTGTGGGTCCTGAGCTGTGCTGGGAATCACTCGCTGCTGTCCCAGAATTCCCAGAATTCCCACTGCCACATGACAAGCCACCCGCATCACAATCTTCAACATTCCCGCCACTGTTACAGCCAGCGCCGCAACCCTTACGCAGTCTGCAGTGAGAAAGATGAGCGTCATTATTATTATAATCAAAACATGTAAATTCTCATTCATTCAACCACACACACAAACCTGTGCCACGTGTTGACGATAAAGTTTCGTATGTTGGCAATGCTGATTGGTCCTCCCAGAATGCGTCTTAGCTGTGGGTGTGTATTACAGTAAGATGTTGTCAGGGGTGACACATAGATGGGGTATCCGATTGGCTGGTCGCATGAAGAGTTTATCATGTTGCGTAGTGCTTGCTTGGCATTCTGGATGCTTCCACGCTCCGGGTTTCGGTTCCGCAAAAACACCAATTCCTGCTGCTGTCCTGCCCACAGGCCGCGTACACACTCCTTATTCACCTAAGAACATGCATATATGGAAAATCATTTACATGCTAATAAAATAAGTTGTCTTTTCCCTGTCAGTCTACTTTCTTCCATTTTATCCTGTCTTTTTTGTTGCTCACTTTTATGACCCTGAAGCTGAGGTAGCGTCTGTTAAGCATGATGATCTTGTATTCGTTGGTCCCTTCGTCCAACACATGTCTAAGGGCGAGCAGAGAGGGAGAGTTGGACAGGACAGCACTGCGCCAGGCCGGGTCACCCTCATGAGCAATCACCAGTGTCTGCTCGTGTGACGATATCGCCTCAAACAACACAGATGATTCCTCATACTCATCAGGGGAGGTGAAGTGATCCTGCAGAGAGAGTTTAACTCTGGTTAAAATACGACCCAAAAGAATAAAATAATACAAGTCATATTTTAAATGAGACACAGAAAACAGATGACATTAATAGTTGTTTCAGACACAAATGTCTCACCTGGTGCAGTTTAAGTGACATGCGAATTCCAGGGACAACCACCTTTCTCAGCAGTTCCATGTCAGTAAAGATCCATTCGTCTCTTACAGATGAGATCCGGAAATCTCCCTTAAACAATGCATGCAACCCATACAGGAAAGACTCCAGATTACTGTAAACACACAAACAGACACCATTAGAACAAACAAACTGCAAAATAATGTCTTCATAACAAGCTTTTTGGAAAAACTCCAGCACAGTAAAGGATTTTTGCTCCCCCACCTGGACATATGGTGAGATGCAGTTCCCAGAGCTCTCCTTCCCAAAACACACAGGCCGTAACACAACAAAACCAACAGAGAGTCTTTCTCACTGTCCAGTGGCTGAAAGAAATAGAGAGAGACAGCAGTAAGGTAAAAAGTTTGTTTACTAACATTACAGTTCAAAAGTTTGGGGTCAGTATGATTTTTTTCATTTCTTTTTTTTCTGAAAGAATTAATACTTTTATACAGCAAGGATGCATTCAACGTAAAAAAACATTTAAAAACGCTGTTTCTTAACTTTCTAATGATAAATGGATCCTTAAAAAACATGTCACGGTTTCCTTATAATAGTAATAAATGTTTCTTGAGCAGCAAATCAAGCATATTAGAATGATTTCTGAAAGGGATAGTTCACCTTCAGTTGCTGGTCCCATAGACTTGCATAGTGTTTTTTTTCCATACTATGGAAGTCAATGGGGACCAGCAACTGAAGGTGAACTATCCCTTGAAGGATCATGTGACACTGAGACAAATCAGCTCTGTAGTCACAGGAATAAATTACATTTTAAAATATATTAAAACAGAAAACAGGTATTTTAAACTGCAATAATATTTAACAGTATTACTGTTTTTTTGTTGTTGTTGTTGTTGATCAGTTAAATGGAGTCTTGGTGAGAATCAGACTTACAAACTTACAAAAAAACTTTACAAACACCAAACTTTTAAAAGGTAGTGTAGACTACTTTTCACTCATCAGCTTTTAACATATTCATCAGACATGTTTGTGTGGCTTTACCTTCTCTCTCCGTGAGTTGCAGTACTGGATCCAGCTGAGGTAGACAGAGCAGAAACTGTCTCTGGAGATTCCAGCCAGTCTGTGGTCATAATCTTCATCAATATTGGGGTTAAAAGTCGGATCCAAGTCAACATAGTTTCGCTCTCCGCAGCTCTTCAAGCCCTCAAGAAGGGCTTCGTTTGCCAGCCACTCCTCCAGTTTAGGAGATGCAATGACATAATAAATGATGCCCTACAAACATACAAACACACATAAATAATAAACAAATGATTTTAAACAATTTCAGGGCATTATTTTTTTTAACTTGCCTAGCCAATAATCAAAAGAGCAGTTTGGTACAGGGTTGGAAGGTTGTCTGCTGACCTTAACGTAGTAGGTGGTGAGGATTCGCCGCAGATCAAACACCTGCAGCATAGATGCGGCACTGTTATCGGTGATGCTGTAGCCCTCCAGGGCGTATTTAGTGACCAGAACCTCCCAGGCCAGCCAGCGCTGTCCGAATGCAGCATTGAAGGACAGCAGATGGGGGAGATGACCGGGCTCACAGCAACAACAGCTTTCATCTTCTTCGACTCCCTCTGTTATCGCCTCCACCTCCCTCTGCTGGCAATACGTCCCTGAGATAGAGAGAGGAAAAGAAAGGAGACAGAATCTTTTAACTAGACTAGACTCATATAATCCTTTCAAAATTAATAACTCATTTAAAATGTTATAAATGGTCTGTTTTGCTACACTGCATGAAGATATATAAATGATCTCTCTTACGAATGGTCACCTCCTCAAATCTCAGTAACCACACCCCCACCAAGTTGCTGAATACTAAATAGGCTAGGCATTGTAAATCTGGGCAGTTATGTTAATGTGCTCATGGTTGTAACATTACTAACTTATTGATTTCTGAATGACCTGTTTTTGCGGCTTAATATTTACAAATGGTTTGGGTGGATTGGGGAGAGAGCTTTAATTTCTAAATTTAGAGAACAGTGAACCATTTCATTTAAAAAGAGCAAGCAAAATCCTGTTTTTACCTAATATTTTACAATTTCAAGAACTATAACGGTCAGAACTTACTCTGCTGTTCAAAAGTTTGGGGTCTATAATACTTTTTCATGTTTTTGAAAGAAGTGTCTTATGATCACCTTTGTTTTCTTTTTTTTTACCAAAATACAGTAAAAAAACAACAACAAAAAAACAGTAATTCTGTGAAATATTTTTACATTTTAAAATGATTGTTTTGTATTTGAATATATTTTAAAAATGTAGTTTATTACTGTGATGGCAAAGCTGAATTTTCAGCATCATTACTCCAGTCTTCAGTGTCACATGATCCTTCAGAAATAATTATAATATGCCAATTTCATGCTCAAGAAACATTTTTCTTATTTTGTTATTATGTTGAAAACAGTTGTACTGCTTAATATTTGTGTGGAAATCATGATACATTTTTTCAGGATTCTTTGATGAATAGAAAGCTCAAAAGAAAATAATTTGTTTGAAATATTAACATTACAATTTTGTAACATTATAAATATCTTTACTTACATTTTTTATCAATTTAATACATCTGTAATGAATAAAAGTATTAATTTCTTTAAAAAAAAGTAAAAAAAAAACTTACTGACTCAATTTCAATTTCTCATTTAGTCTCTCTCTCCTTAGCTTTTTCTCTCCTCACCTCTAAACTCAAGTCCTCTGAGCTGGAAGGTGATGAGGCCATTGCCAATCTCAACAAGGTGAACGAGAGCATTGAGGTAATCAGATGCCAGGATGAAGCAGTCTCCGATGCCGTAGTTTCCCCAGCGGCCCAGCTGCAGGTCTCCACATTTGTAACATTATAAATATCTTTACTTTCATTTTTTATCAATTTAATACATCTGTAATGAATAAAAGTATTAATTTCTTAAAAAAAAACTAAAAAAAAAAACTTACTGACTCAATTTCAATTTCTCATTTAGTCTCTCTCTCCTTAGCTTTTTCTCTCCTCACCTCTAAACTCAAGTCCTCTGAGCTGGAAGGTGATGAGGCCATTGCCAATCTCAACAAGGTGAACGAGAGCATTGAGGTAATCAGATGCCAGGATGAAGCAGTCTCCGATGCCGTAGTTTCCCCAGCGGCCCAGCTGCAGGTCTCCACACAGAGAATGCTGCAGGGAACGCGTCAAATGCTCATAGAAGATGGAGTTCAAGTTATTATCATCTGAACCTGACAACATGAGGGATGAGAAGAGATGCCACATGTCACACAAATCTAGAACACCACAGGCAAGAAACTAAATTAAGAATGATTTTACATTTACAACAGACATGTATGTAGTTGTACCTGGGTTTCTGTCAAGCTGCGAAGCAAGTCTAGTGTTGGAGTGATCAACTCGCTTAGTACTAAAACACAAAAATTCAACTTTAATCTTATAAATGCTTTGGGCTGGGGTAAAAAGGCAAAAGGAAACAGGAGATACTGATATTCAAGAGTGTCTTACTTGTATTCTCTCTCCCAAAAGCGCACAGGTCGTACGTACGAGCTGATGAAGATGGCACTGCCAAGAAAAGGGTTTAATGGAGTGGAGAACTCTCCACACAGAGAATGCTGCAGGGAACGTGTCAAATGCTCATAGAAGATGGAGTTCAAGTTATTATCATCTGAACCTGACAACATGAGGGATGAGAAGAGATGCCACATGTCACACAAATCTAGAACACCACAGGCAAGAAACTAAATTAAGAATGATTTTACATTTACAACAGACAATGTATGTAGTTGTACCTGGGTTTCTGTCAAGCTGCGAAGCAAGTCTAGTGTTGGAGTGATCAACTCGCTTAGTACTAAAACACAAAAATTCAACTTTAATCTTACAAATGCTTTGGGCTGGGGTAAAAAGGCAAAAGGAAACAGGAGATACTGATATTCAAGAGTGTCTTACTTGTATTCTCTCTCCCAAAAGCGCACAGGTCGTACGTACGAGCTGATGAAGATGGCACTGCCAAGAAAAGGGTTTAATGGAGTGGAGAACACTGCAGACACAATGGCCTGTACGAACAACATGGCAGAGTCTGGAGGGGACCAAGTCAAGGAAGAACAGCAAGAAACAACAAGAAAGACACCTGAATTTGACAAAGCCTGTAAACTATGTTAAATCTAAAACACGCTTGTGTGTTCAGGATACGTGGCACTGCAAACGGCTGGGCGAAGGCATGGAAGGCAGAGCCCCAGGTAATCTGCCAGGGCGCGATGTAGGTATAAACAAACTTCAACTTATAAAAGAGCTCCCATAACTACAAAACACAACACATCACACAGTTATACAATAGAACTTCTGAAAGAGTAAAAGATGCTATAGGAATTAGGACTGACCTTGCTGAAAACGATGGACATAACGAAAAGGTCCAGCAGCAATGTCTCGGAAAACTGCCGGTAATCAAATGTGAAGAACAGGACCGTGAAGAGGACAGTGACATACTGATATGTTGGACTACTGAAGGAAGAACGCAGCAGCTTCAGCCCAGCGATGGTTATCACTAGAGCCCCGACCCTGAGAGAGAGAATGAATTAATTGACTGCTTGTAAATAATAGCGTAGAACAATGTTGAGCTATTACACAATGATCTGGTGCAGACAGTCAATCAGTTAGTCGATAAAAAAAACACAGTAACGCTGAATGTAAGGAAATAAGACAGCAGGTCAGATAGAAGAGGTAATACAGACTCTGTGTTTAGTTTCCTGGGGCTGGCGAGCTCCTGTGCGCTGCCACTCATCTCATTAAGCACAATGAGTGGATAGAGGATGTTTTTCTCCACAAACAGCAGCCACACATGTGTACGCTCAAACCACATCACATGGGCGGCACCTGCACACAGAAAACACACGCTTAAGTACTGTTCATGCTAACCGAGTCCCAGCAGAACAAAGAGTGTTATCTTTACAGGATCACTTACCCCGGATCTCAAACTGATAGTACTCCCTGGTTTTGAGCAGCGGGTGTGAGAAGCAGTACCAGGGTAACTGCTTCCTCATCTGGGGCAACAGGTAGTGAGTTAACAGCCCTACTGCCCCAACCAGACCGTACAGAACATAGCTCAAAAAAGGCTAGAAAAGAGGAAAGAGGGACAAGAAGAGTCAAGAACTGCCTATTTATTATCCTTTGGATATTTCACTACAGTTTTATTCGGACAGCTATTACAATTTAAAATAACTGTTTTCCATTTTAATATATTTTTTAATTGTAATTTATTTCTGTGATGGCAAAGCTGAATTTTCAGCAGTCATTACTCCAGTCTTCAGTGTCACATGATCACATGATTTCTTAATATTACCAATGTTTCAAACAGTTGTGCTGCTATAATATATCGCCCAGCTCTAGTAGAACATATTTTAATATCGCCATGTATCGATTATCAGCCACACAAATGATAATTATCAGCATATCCATATTGGACAAAATTTTAACATTGCTGCATTACTAATCATAGTGTTTTACCTGTAAGGCAATGAAGACAGTGCTGACGTGAATAGCGAAATACAGGACAGCAATGACAACACACACAATCACATCTGACTGTAGTCTGTCATTCTGTAGCCAGAGAGAAAGAGAGAGACACAGATGCATCATTCAAGACAGAAGAGAGCATTTGTGTCTATTTAGATCTGTTTGTATCTATGTTTGAGAGATTTATGTGTACATTACTCACCACAGAGCTGCGGAGTTTCTCTGGTAAAGGATCCTCAACTTCAGAAAGGGGATCCTCTGGATTTTTCTCTTTCACATTAGGGAAGACCTTTGATTGCACTAACGAACTATACAAACACAAGATAATATTTAAATTCAGAAAATTCAAACTAACTACTGTGCAATCAAAGAATAAAAGGCCCTTAAACTCCTTAAAATTCATACAGGTTTGGAACAAATTAAGGGTGATTAAATGATGACAGAACTTTCATTTTTGGGTGAACCATCCCTTTAATCACCGCAATTATCCCATTTATTTTTCCACCAAATTTACATGCTTTTAGCTCATTGTAATGAAGTGTGTTATTGTATTTGAATGTGTGTGTTACTCACATGTCGGGGTGATGAAGAGTCGGGTTGGACACTCTGATTGAAGAACAGAAAGACAAATTTTTATTAAAAATTATTCATTATTGGTATGGTTTTGAAAAGTGTGTGATTCTCACCTTCAGCAATGAGTACTGGCAACTGGCAATAACGAGGCAGAACTGAAAGACCCAAATGTCAGTGAAGAACCCATTAACTAGCAGCACAGAACCCAGGAAGGCCACGAGAACCGCCAGAGCCACTGAGAGCACATTCTCCAGCTCATGCAGGTCACATGCACACTTCAGCAGATCTCAACTGATCAACTGGATTCAACTAAGTTTGCAAGGTTTGTGAAATAAAATTTTCATTAGCCATTCAAAGATTTGTTTAAATGATGGCAAACGATAAAGTATTGTAATGTTTGCCTTTCCATTACTAATAATATAAAAGCAATCGTTATAATACTTTTTGTATACATTTTAATTCCTTTGTTTAACAGTTCTATCGTATTATTAGACAGACTTTTATCCGTATTAGACAGAACTGGTAACAACGACGGGGAACAAGAGGGAGAATGTGAGCACTGTGTGTGCTCAGGCGATGCCGCTCACAGCGTCGTCAAAATAAAAGTCCCGTCTCGAACGCATCGGCCAAACAGAAAAACTTATCAGCCGATGCCGATATTTGAAAAATGCCAAATATCTTGCCGATATATCGGCCGGCCACTAGCACCAAGTAAAGTTTTCAGAACAACAAGACCTCAATCTTGCAAGGCAGATGCCAACAAAACTAGATCACTCTCATTGTAATCAGGAAAGCTGTCTAAACTAAAAACACCCAACTACTGGGGATCCCTCTTCTGTTAATGCTGCATTGCACAGTGGCTCTAAAAGCTTTATTTTTCCTGTCTGTCTATAATAAAACCCTTTATTAGGGATGTAACGATTCATTCAACTCACGATTCTATTCGCGATTTTTTTTTTTTTTTACAAAATGAGATTTAAGACAAATTAGAAATTAAATGTGTCCTTTTATTATTGATTGGACAAAATACTGTACGTTTCTATATACAGTATTTTGAAATAAATTGAAATATAACACTATAATAATATACTAATATAGCACTTAGTAAATTATTGCTATTTTGTTGGTTTTGATTGCTTCTATTGTCCTCATTTGTTAGTCTCTTTGGATAAAAGCGTTTGCTAAATAACAAAATTTAAATATAATGTAAATGTAAATAACAAAACTAAACTGAAATTTTAAAACAAGCCCCAAATCAAATAAATAAGTAACACAAATAAAAGAAATCTCTTCATATAAACAAACTAAGGCTTCGTCTGTGCTCTTTCCATTTAAACTTAGAGATTAAAATGAATCATGATCCAAACAAAGATGCTGCATACATGCAACATGAGCAGTTTTTAATCTAAATTAGATTGTGTCATTTCGAAATTTTAAGCAAAAACAGAATGGTCTGACTTCAGTTTTATAAAACTATGCATAAAACATATCTGCATGATACAGAAACAGCAGATGAGCTGAATGAGATGCAGATTCACTCTCTGCCAGCAGGTGGCGCTTAAAGCGTTTCCTTGGTTTCCGCTGTAAACAAAGCAGCGCTGCACTTACCAACTTTAATATGCATTATACAGAGGCAAGAGGAAAAGAAAAAATACCATCAAAAGATAGTAAGTTCACCCCAGACATGCATTCATATAAACTCCTACACCTAATTGAATCGCGATTTGTTTAGCATCTCAACCGATTTTAATCGTCACATATTTAAATTGATTTTCAACTGGCTCGCGGTTAATCGTTACATCCCTACCCTTTATACATTAAAATTTATACATCACATGTGACAGTTGATTTCTATGAACTTAATTTATTTCATGATTTAGTTTAATGACAATAACTAAATCACGTCTCTTATGCTCAACAGGGCTGCATTCATTTGATTAAACACACTGTAAAAACAGCAATATTGTTCAAAAGAACAGCATTTATTTGAAATTGAAATATTTTTTTTAACATTATAAATGTCTTTTTTAATAGTCAATTTAATACATCCTTGGTAAACAAAAGTATCAATTTCTTTTTGAAAGAAATTTAAATGGTAGTTTATGTCCAATGTATTATGCAATGGTACAAAGACAGTAAATAAAATGACTAAATGTTAAAATGTTCTTAAAATTAGGAATATGTCATCTCAGTTGGAAGGGGTAGGAGAGAACCGCTGAAAATGCTACACTACACAGCATAAGAAATTCTTAATACAATACATTTGCAAGAATAAAATTCTAGAGGAAATAAAAAAAATTAACACTTGACAGCCTGTAACAACATTAATTGTTATGGTTTCCATTAAGTGATCTGATCACAAGTGGACAGCAATATATACAGGGGTCCAAAAATTTAGTGATCAGACAAAATAAAACCACATTCAGACAAAATCAGAAACACATGTTAAAATTTAAGCCAATAAATAGCCAATAGAGCCAATAGCCAATAAAGTTCATGGAACATCTTCAATGCGACCAAGATTAATACCAGGTGCACACAAGACCTAAACAATCCTTTCTCTACGAATGCATTTTTTTTTTATGACTGTACGAGCCTCATAAAACCCACTATACTGTGATTTTGTTGTCTTTGTCTATTCAAAAACAAGGGATATTTATAGACATATAGATGCATTATTGATCACGGGAGGAAATAAGCAAGCATGTTCCATGACCGGAAGCAAACCTTAAACGCAGCAGTGGGAGCGCATCAATACCTCTACACCACCAGGGAAGAGTTTGACTGACCAAAGAAAGACCATGTCACATGCACATCCATGTAAAATCTGATATAAGATCATGATGTTAGCGGTGTAATCAGTGTGATCCCAAACACACAAATACATGCAGAAAAATCATTAAACTGATAGCAGAAGAACCGCTGTAAACTGTAGCAGAAGAACCGCTTCTCAATATTATTAACTCGTCGTTATCAGTAGGTCACATCCCAAAACCATTTAAGCTGGCGGTTATTAAGCCTCTTATTAAGAAACCACAACTAGATCCTAATGAACTGGCAAATTACAGACCCATTTAAAATCTTCCATTTATGTCTAAAATTTTTGAAAACGTTGTGTCGGCTCAATTTTGCTCCTTCCTGCAAAAGAATTATATATATGAAGAAATTCAGTCAGGTTTCAGGCCCCACCATAGCACAGAAACTGCACTTGTTAAAATTACGAATGACTTGTTTCTTGCGTCAGACCAAGGCTGCATCTTATTGCTCATTTTACTTGATCTTAGTGCTGCGTTCGACACTATAGATCATGACATACTCATAGATCGATTATAAAACTATACAGGTATTCAAGGGCAGGCTTAAAGATGGTTTAGATCCTACCATTCCGATCGCTATCACTTTGTCTATTTAAATGTGGAATCATCTCAATTAAATCCAGTAAAGTATGGAGTGCCGCAAGGATCTGTCTATTTTCAATATACATGTTGCCCCTTGGTAATATTATTAGAAAATACAGGATTAGTTTCCATTGTTATGCTGATGATACTCAACTATATATTTCAACAAGACCAGATGAAACTTCTAAATTATCTAAGCTAACCAAGTGTGCAAAATGTAAAAGACTGGATGACCAAAAAGACAGAGATATTACTTATTGGACCAAAAAAGCTGTACACAGAATCTCATAAATTACAATTTGCATCTAGACGGATGTACTGTTACTTCTACAGTCAAAAATTTGGGTGTTATATTAGACAGCAACTTGTCTTTTGAAAATCATATTTCCCATGTTACAAAAACAGCATTCTTCCATCTTAGAAACATTGGCAAGTTACAGAACATGCTACCTGTTTCTGATGCAGAAAAGCTAGTTCATGCATTCATGACCTCTAGACTGGACTATTGTAATGCACTTCTAGGTGGTTGTCCTGCATCTTCAATAAACAAGCTACAGGTAGTCCAAAATGCAGCTGCTAGAGTCCTTACCAGGTCAAGAAAATAAGATCATATTACCCCAATTTTACATTCTCTGCACTGGCTACCTAGTATTAAGTTCCGTATTAGTTATAAAATATTACTACTAACTTTTAAGGCCCTAAATGGTTTAGCTCCTGCATAACTAACTAGTCTTCTATCACGCTACAATCCAACCTGCTCTCTTTAGCTCTCTCGCTAAACTGAACATCCAATCAGAGCTCTCACTCGCGCCGACAGTCCCGACGCCGATTCAACATGTCGAATCAGGCAAACTGCCGCCGACGTGAGCCGACGAGTGGAACACACCAAACAAACTAGCCCAACCGTCGCTTGCCGTCGGCCCGACGTTGGCTTGGTGTGTCCCGGCCTTAAAGGAGGTAGAGCTTTTTCACATTTGGCTCCCAAACTCTGGAATAGCCTTCCTGATAATATCCGGGGTTCAGAGTAGACACTCTCTCTCGATTTAAATCTAAATTAAAGACATCTCTTTAGCCAAGCATTCACATAATGTGTCGCATAACCCTGTACTTCAGTTACATCTGATCAAATGCACATTAACATTCTTTTGCTTGGGTTGAACACATCTTTTTTTGCTTAGTTTGAACAACAACTACGCTAATTTTTTCTCTATTTCTGTCTGTTTCTGCCACGGGATGCCAACAAGGAATTACACAAGCTTCAGTCTGGATCCAACCCTTACAAAGACCTGAGACAACCGAACACATGAGAAGAGATGATGCCAACACCTCAGACAACATACAAAACTACCAAATTTTGCTATAAGTTTGATCGCAACATATAATCATTGCTGTTAATAGTGTTCACTGTCTGTTTGATTACATGACATTAACTAACTGCTTGATTTTTACCGCACATTTCTGCCATATGGACATCAACTTGAGATAGTCACCACTGATAAGCTATTATAAATATAATGTAGAAACTTTAATTTTCTGTAAAGCTGCTTTGCAACGATTTGCATCATGAAAAGCACTATACAAATAAACTTGAATTGAATTGAATAAATAACCATTAAGTTCCACAGCCAATACAACCCGTCAATCTGATGAAAACCTTCAAATGCACACTGACTGAATATTCATACCAGACAATGACATGCAAATAGAATGTGATAAGAAACAGCATGCAGGCGTGACAAATAGTGTGACAGACAGCATGCAAATGTGAGATACACAGGATGCAAATATAACAGGAAGGTGTGAAGATAACAAGATAATGTGACAGACAGCAGGCAATTTTACAGTGCATACCAAAGTCATCCTGCAGGCTGGTCACGCCCACAGTGGACGCCTTATCCGGACAGCCCTCCAGCTGCGCACTTCCATTCCTGACCAGCAGGGAGGCGCTAGTGCTCAATACCGTCACCTGAGACGGCGTGCGGGATTGCTGACCTCTGACCTGTGACCCTGAAGCTTGAGATACCTGACTCAGAGCTTCCTGCAGACTGGAGGAGCAATGAGTAACAGAATGAGTAACAGACTTCAGATGTGGGACACAGGGATGGGCATTTTTGTCATGTTGTCAACTTTAGTACTCGACAAAGAAGTCAACTGTGTACTAAGAAAGTACCCTTTGATGATAATGTTGCACCTGTGTTGTTATTGTAACTATAACTAAGACTGTTAAAATAGCTTTTTTGGTTATTTTATAATAGAACAAAACAAATTTTAGATGGAAAAACTTAAAATACTAATTTAAAAGACTAATGAATACTATAATAGTATATCAAATTACTAAAACAACACTGATTGCATCATAAGCTTCACATTCATATTCTGTGTCAACTTAAAAAAATTTCAAATTAAAAAATGCTAATAAATACTATAATAGTATATGTATGCATATATATATATATATATATATATATATATATATATAATGATGCTAAAATAACACTGTGTCATAAAAGTCACATTAAGATCCCGAAATTAATGCCAAAGTTAGCTGTTTCTGAATTTTGTTCAGTGAAATGTTTTGGAAGGTTAAAAAGAACTGCATTTTTAAGTACTTTTGCCCATTCATAAAGTCAGAATGAGTGTGTATGTGTATAAAGATAAGGTGGACAAAAACAGAACAAAATGCTGGAAGGAAGTGCAAGGTCACATTTTAGAGAGAAAGACAGACAAATGGTTGTGCTAGAGGAATGGGGGTTCTGGAGGTGTCATGAGAGCTGACAGGAAGTGTAAAATGAGAGGGGAGCTGAACGGGAAGAGAAGAGGATGAGTATTCTGATTTCACCGCTAGAAAAAGCACGAGCGATTTTGAGGTTTGTGTGTGTGTGCAAACAGAACATCACTCGGTAGAAACAGAGTGAAGGAAAATAGATGACTTTGTTCACAATGCACAAAAATCCAATTTGTGTTTTAAATCTGATCTTGCAAAATACAAAATCAGGGAAGCTGGGTTTATTTGTTGTTGATTAATGACTGGTCACTCTGGCAACCAACCGACCAGTCAGTTTTGAAAATGTTGTTTGGCACATTCCTAATATCTACATTAGTTTCCATAGTAATATCATAATCATTAGCAAAATAAGTGTAATAAGAGAGTTGCTGACTGTCATTCTGGAAAGAGATTAGGGCTGGACGATATGGCCAAAATTTATATCACGATATATTTCTTAATTTCGTTTGATACGATATAATTCCGATATCGATATGAACACTATTTAAAAAAGCCTCATAAAAACGGCCACAACAGATGTCTGTACCTACAAACTTATGAAAAATTTATTTGCCAACTCTATGAAACCTACTCCTATAAAACTAAATAATATTTTAGGAAAAAAATGGCGCAAATAAATAAATGTTCACCTTTTATTGGTATTTAGCCTTCATACAAAAAAGAAATGTGAAATCACTGTCAAATAAATCTCAGACTCTCCTTATTAATATTAATATTTTTTACTTCAAACTATAGGCTAACATACCAGTCAAAAGGTTTTGAACAGTAAGATTTTTAATGGTTTTTAAAGAATTCTCTTCTGCTCACCAAGCCTAAATTTATTTGATCCAAAATACAGCAAAAACGGTAACATTTTGAAATAAAAGAGATGATGGAAAAACGGACAACTGGCGAACTCATCAGTTCAACATAAGCATTAGAGGCATCACTGTGTTTACACATTCATTTGGATGGTGTGTTAAATATACACTTGCTTGCTCATTCCCCATTCAATAGAAGGTAAATGCCACAATCATTTTAATATTCTGGTTTGGTGCTCAAGAAACATTTATTATTACTATCACTGAAAATAGTTGTGCTGCTTAATATTTTTGTGGAAACTGTCAAATTTTTTCAGGATTCCTTGATGAATATAAAGTTGAAAAAAAACAGCATTTAAAATATTTTTTTCTTTACTTTTATTTTTTATTAACTTAATGCATCTTTCCTGAATAAAAGTATTAATTTCTTTAAAGAAAATTGTACTGACCCTATACATTTGAACTGTGGATTTGGTTTGGATCAGGTTTGTAAAAATAAATCTCCATGTGGTTTTTGGTCTTCGGCCTAAAAAACAACTAAACAAATTAAGTTGGATATGACAAAAAAAATGGATTTTTGCTGTCTGTCTGAACGAAGCCTGTGAGTGATTTCAGAGAACTTGACTGGAGAAACTGAAAGTTAGTTTACTGAAAGCATCGTGATACTTCAAGAGAGACAGACATGCCCCGGGCCTGATGATGAAACAAAGCACTCAAACACTCTCTCTTCATCTGAAGCGGTCTATAATGGCAAGGATGACTGTGTCTGGGGGTTATGGAAAGATTTAGTATATGAGAGAAGGACGCAGTGACTGTAACTCTCCGGGATACAGTAGTAAAGACTCCAGAAGCAGCATGTGTAAGTGTGTGACAGTGAGGGTGAAGTTAGACGCCATGTGATGTGGTTCATCAGAACAGGATAAAATAAGTGAAAGCACATGAATAGATACTGGGAAAAATAAACAGAAGTATGGAAACAACTCATGCGAGAACCAAAATAAGACTTGAATTGCATTGAAAAGGCAACATGCAAGAACGTTGGCTTCCTGTACCAGCACAATGGTCAGAAAGAGATCAGCTTGGGCTTCTCTGATGACGAATTTTAAGTCCGCACAGTAGTAAGAAGAGGGTAGCAAGCAAATTAAGGATTTAATTTAATGCGATGCCCCAGAGAAGTGTGGAAATGACAGTTAAAGGTGTGCTAGCAAAAGAGGAAGGTGATGAAACGTGTTGATAAGAATAATGAAGTGGGCATCAGCACAGGTGAGTCAAAGCTGGTGTTCTGCAACCATTCAATCCCTCCCCGCGTGAGTCGTACCTGAGTGGGGATCCGATGATGGAGGCTGGGGGTGTGGAGTTACTTCCTGCGTTGTGCCGTCTACGCACCGCTTGCCGACGAAACGTACTACGCTCTCGGCGAAACGTGGCTGTGTCGTCATTCCCTGGGGCTGCCATAAGAAGACAAAGACAGGAGGGCCACCAAAAATGAGCTTTTACTGAACTAGCAACATGCAATGCTGCATGCAAGACCAGCGTAGACAAGAACCATCAAACACACCAATTAAACACAAATGCAAAGTGCCTGATGATTTAATGCCATATGGTATCGAAAAAAAAACATTTAAAAAAAGAACGAAAAATGCAAAAAGAGTCAATCTAAGGCTCAAGAAGTATAGTTATATATATATATATATATATATATATATATATATATAAGATGACCGATAGTTTTGCTAGATAAGACCCTTTACTCAGCTGGGATCGTGTAGAGCCCTTTGAAGCTTCATTGAAACTGCGTTTTTAATCTACAATCCGCTGGCCACCATAAAAGTCAAACATTTAATTATTTTAAAAATAAATATAGGTAATATTAAAATATATATGTATACAGTATTTATACATATTTATTAAAAAATATATTTATTTCATATCTACATTTTAAATATAATATAAAATTATATGTCCTCAGTCTCGCCGAAGTTTTGCTGAACATGGCACAATCAAAGGAGAACTTGCATACAACATATTGTGATTAAAAGAAAAAAGTAAAATTCAAGATAATGTGTTTCCAACTAAACTACCTGTGATAAAAGCATAATATAAACTAAATCTGCTTTGTCATCTTTCTACATCCAGATGGTTAAATGCATCTCCTTTGCAAGCAGTTTTAAACATGGACTTTAACTGCAGCACTCCCACTGCGGATGAACTTTGACCTTATCTGATGACTTATCACTGAAAGTAAAACTTTATTACTACAATAAAACAGTCTAAACAATCTCATCCTGGACTAAAAGGGGTGTTAATCAAGACAGAATGGTTTACTCTAGAACAATACTTTTGCTATGTTCAGACCAGATAATTTGTGAGTAATAAGCCTTAAGAAAAGACATCAGAAGCATGACAAAGAACATTAGACAATGCTCCCTCAAACAAGATCCAGTTACTGGTGCTGTGGAATAAACATCACACAGAGCTAAAACACACGCATCTAAACATCACACACAACTCTATATATCACATGCTGTGCTTTTAAACAGAAACACAAATGGAGAATGGAGAAAGAGGACATGTATAAATCTGAAATTAAGATCTGTTTCAAAACATTTGATCACAAGTGATTAGCAGTGGGTAAAGTTTTAAATAGGTGCCAAGATGTTTTATGAATACTGAATCCACATTCACACTGCAATTCACAAGCAAATGTTGCACAGAGACTGCATGATCACTGTGGACCAGAGGAAAGAACAAACCCTGCAGATCTCCTATATATAGACTCAACAGGCTGTCAGAGTAAGACTTCAGTAATTCTGCAGGGGTTTGTGGGTCACAGCTGCACTGGCAAAATGCACTACATGTACATCTACAAGCTTCTGGGCAAAGCTTGTTTATCTGATCGGCTACATTCTGCTGAAAAACATCCATCTGTGCTCTGACCTGCTGCAGACCTCAGATGTCTAGCACTTCAGACTGATCTCAGAATGAGATCACGACTTACATTGATAGTTCATTTATTAATTTCATTCCAAACCTCTAAGATTTTCTTTCTTTTCATGTTGGGCAGAATGTTGTATTTTCTTTGCTATACATTGAAAGTGAAAGGTGACCAATGGCTTTCAAGACAAATATCTGTGAGGAACAGACAAAAGTCTTTTTTTTACTGAAAATTTCATCTGTGTGATTTGAATGTGTGCATATTCCGAATTGGTTCACCAATCACAATCAGTTACAAATCGTGATGTACTATTCACTGCCTGCATTACTGATGTCAAACCTGCCATGCCACGTCTTGTCATGCCATATTTTAATATATGCAAACATAAATGAGATTTGAAAGTGAATAATGACCTGGCGGCATGAAATGGAAATTATCCATGAAATGTGTAATTTTTTCATCTTGTAATTTTTAATCAAAATGCCATAACTCAATCTTCCATTAAAACATCTCTGGACTCTCTGATGACATATACCAGACTTCTCTCATCATTCAGTCTGCTTAAACCCCGCCCCTTCTTACAACCTAACTGCAAGCTTGCATTCAGATCTGCCACCATTCATTCAACAACCAGTGGACTGAACCAAGTCTCCATCCTACAATTTTAAATTTTTCGATAATCCATTTTACTCAGATGTATGTCATAACATGAAAGAAATTATATGTCTTTACTTCTGTTACATTGCATCTTTACATTTAAGTCTTTTCCTGACATAAAGCTGTATGGCTTGGGTATTTTATGTTTTTATAATTTTTGGACCTTGAACAGCCCCAGGTCACCATCCTCTTCCAATGTATGGAAAAGAGCAGCATGAACATCCTGATAAACTTCTCCTTTTTGCGGTTCATGGAACCAAATATACAGTCTGGAATGACATGAGGGTGAGTAAATAATCACAGAACTTTTATTTATAGGTGAACTACCATTTTAATCATCTCCCAGCCCTTAGCGAATAAGTGCATGTACATACTCGCATTACTGTGTGCTCACCTCGAGATCCTGTTGTTGTGTCTTGCGTGTGACTAAGGGAAATAGGGCAGGGCAGACTGTTTCTCGACCGGGTCACTGACTCAAGCTGAGAGGCCCTTCCCAGCAAGGATGCCGCATCCAACACCTCCCCCTCTTTTGCCTCCAGGTCCGACTTGGAGGTGGTAAGGGGTCTGGAACTTGCTGGTGCCCCCAAATGGTGGGGGTCATTAAGGCAAACAGTAGTGCTGCTGTCCAGGCTCAAGACCCGGGCATGAGTTTTGGCACTGCCTGTACTTGGAGTGCGTCGCGAAGCTTTGCGTTTGCCCTTCTCCTTGTCTTTCTCCCGTTCCTTTTCCTTGTACTTCTGACCGTGGGTTTGCACACCATTCATTTTGGCCCGTAGCGAGGGGCCACGGCGATCCTCGGGAGAGGGGCAGGAGTGGAGTGTGCTGGATGAGGAGTCTGTGCTAAGCTGGTGGGTGGAGTGTAGGCTGGAGGCACAACTAAGTTCGCTCTGATCACTGGAGTCTTCCTCTCCTTTCATGAACACTGCAGAGCGAGGCTTTGCCATGCCACGTCCGCAAATGTATTCCCGGTGTTTGCTGGCATCAAAACTGCTTGCGCGCTGCTTACCATTGCGTCGCCGGCCACTATGGTTGGCGGCAGACGAGGAGGCAGCCCGGTGAACAAGACTGGCTGTTTTGGGATGCACTTTGTCTGGTTCTGCCTCCTGGTGCTGGTGGGCGAGACCAGCAGAGACATCTACGCTAGTCCTTGGTCCCGCCACAGTTCCTTCCCCCTGTTGGCCCTCTGAGTTTGTGGGTTTGGGAGCATCACCGACGGGCAATTTGGTAGCAAGTTCGTTGGCATGGGGGTTTTTATTAGCCTCCCCCGAGGCCATATTAGAGTTACGCGGGTCGGTATGTCCTGCATTTACCTTCTCATCCCCGGACAATGACAGTAGACTCTCTACGTGCGTGGAGCTGGTCTGCTCGCTGTGCAGGCTGCTCAGAGTACTGTTGGTATCCCGGTCCGTCCCACTGCAGTAGCTCTCAGTGGAGCCACTACTGCGTGTGCTTAAACTCCGCAAACTTCCGGCACTCCGTCCACCTTTTCTTTCCCGACCCCCCTGTACACCCTCTGACTGGTACAACCCAGATCCCCCTTCCCCAGCACACATTCCTTCCCCTGTCTCTCGGGAAACAGACCGTGATATCCTGCGGTGCTCCTTCGGATGATATCTGTGACATTCTGTTCCTGAAGTGCTGGGAGTTCCAGAGTCTGGCTGCTCAGAGCTCTCTGTTGCCCTCTGTGACCTGGAGGCCTCCATTTCACAGACAGGATCCAGTCCTCCCCGACGGGGTGGAGGGTACAGGCTGAACTCGGGCAGAGAAGGATCTGGAAAAGCAGATCCCGCAGAACTTGAGGTCCGAGGCAATCCACGAGGTCGAGATGACTCTTTCCGGAAAGACTGTGAGTGGGTGGAAAGATGGGCAGTAATTTCTGTGTCACAAGAGGACAGGGACTGACTAAAAGGGTGAGGGGTGGAGCCATAAAGTTCCTGAGCCAATGAGGTTGATGGCTGCATGGAGGCAAAAGAGTCATTGGAGACGAGGCAGAACATCTTTGGGTCCAACATCAAATCTAGAGGGAAAGAGAAATATATAAAAAAAAGTGTATTAAAATTACATTGAATTGGAGCCAAGATTGAGCCTGTGAGAATAATAGACAATCCAGGTCTTACTGCAAACGATTTATTGGTGTGTGTTGTGTTACAAAAATGTAATGACCTGCTCTTCTTGTGACTTTCTTTTTTTTCCACTGAAGTCAGTTATGATGCGTTTACATTGGCACAGAGCAAGAGGAAGGGAGCGGGTGCTTTCAATTCATTCCTATGGGAGTCAAGCAACAAGCTTGTGCGATCGATTGTGGGATTGACAGCGGATAAGAGAAAGTGGTGAAAGTGTCGAAAAGTTCAGAATCGTCAACTTTATATACAGTAGATATCAAGTGAAAATTTCAGTAAGGTGTAGGTAGTGACATTTGTCATAAGCACATAAAAATATGCTGATTTTGTAGGAGTTTCTGCTGGATTTAGTGTGTAAATCATATTGTTTACATATTGCACGCTTTCCAGTTGTTACATATATGTTAAATATTCATTGTGAATATTCATTGTGAATGAAGACTTGCTGGGTTAACAAAAGTTATTAAACTGACACTGTATCTTTACTTTGGGCATTCGGAAGCAAAGCTTGCATCTTTCCAAATGTAATTGTGTGCATATATAATTGATTATATTAGCGGTGTACTAAGAAAAACTAAAACTCATTACACAACCCAAAGTGGCAGGGTTGTAGTCTTTTGAATGGCACTGAGCTATGTTTTTCCACTGCAATGTTCACGCATTGTTAGGCAGTGCGGGCTTTATGATAAAGTTAATCAATAACCAAATAGACACTTTTCAATCACTGGATCATTGATGATCCAGCATTACAGTCCAAAATTTAAAAACATGCAGAACATGACCCCATTGTGCTCCATTTAGAAGTTTTTGAATTCAAAAACATGTTTAAACAGCTTAAAGAAATCAGGATCAAGTCAAAATGCAGTTATGTACATCCCTAATAAACACACACAGTTTCCTGAGCACTAATGCAGTGTTAAGAACCGATACAGTCATCTGCCAAAATCATTTGACCTACATTACCAATAATCCATTCTGCACACTATCCAAACACCACACTGTCCATAATGTCTTTTTATTATGTGCTTTAGAAAGACTGAGCCCAGTGTGCAGTGCTGACATTACCTCTCTGCACATCTCATTATTCACAAAAAGCTTTCATACTGATCACAAACTTTTGGTTTGGAGAGACAGACATCCCTTTACATGTTAGAGAAATTAAACAGAGTCAGTAAGAATACGAGCCTAACCAACCAATTCTCAGTTCTGCTAAGGACATGAAGACGTTTCATTGCATGTGTAACTCTGAGAAACTTTCCCAAAGCACCTTGTGAGCCAGTTTAGAAAGAATAAAAAAAAACATAAATTGCCCATTTTCATTGCCATTAGAAAGTGAATGGAAAAACTGATTACTGATGGTAATATCTTTTAAATCTATCCTATAAGAAAAATTTTCCATGTAACATCCAGACATACATCAGTGTCTGTCTGGATGTTACATGGAAAAAACAACTATTTATGTGAACTATTTGTTAAAGAGAGATCAGTAATGAACTTTTAGAGTTTTTAGAGGCTAATTTGCATTGCATTATACTATAGCTGATGGTAATTAAGTTTCACACCTTGGTCCTGACTGCAACTCTGAGCCAAACTCAAACTGATATCATCGGGAGCCTTTCCAACACCTGCCCCTGCAAACAAAGAGAGAGAAAGAGAAGGTCAAGTTTTATAACTTATTCATTAACCTAACACATCCGCCATCTCTCTCTCCTGCTCACCTTTGCAACTTTACTCAAACACATCCCTGACCTGGCCTGTGCCCGCAGTACTGCAGGTCTTCTGACATATCACCACTGTCTGCAGAAAACCTCTTCTCTTTGATCCTAAACACTTCTATTTATAGCTACAGTAAACCTGGTTCACAACACAGTGTCCTCTGAGTTTTTTGACAACTCAAAAAAGTCATACAACTTCTAGTGAACACTAGTGGACACCCTGTAATGTTCCTGCTGCTGTTATTTGACTCATCTTGTATATAACACACAATCAATCAAGAGTGATCAAGAAACAAAAGATTCTTAAGACAAGACTTTTGTCTAAATGCAGGTGAATAAATAACAGCATTTTCCATTTTCAACTATTCCTTCTTTTTGTTGCCACATACTAATACCGTCAGAAGTTTAAAAACAAAATCTATGTCTCACGTTTGGTTGTGACTGAGCCTCCATGGGATGTTATCTGTAGGGAAAGAGAGACAGACAAGATCAATGAAACCAGCTCCGATGAGTCATTTACATGAGATCATGATGTTTCTAACTTCCCATCACTGTTACTAATTTAGCAGACTTGCACAAAAACAAAATCACAGTCATTTAATCACATGACAACCAACTGACATGACTTTCAGCTTGAGATTCTTCTCTATTATTTCATGATTCAACCAACAGTTTCTGACCCAACACATACACAGACAGTCTGGGACAAGCAGTACTACAAGCCAGAACATAACACCCCTGAGATTTCACCTATTAAACTTCAGCGAAAGGCAGAGATTCTGACTGATGGGTTGCCCTCAAACAGACAAAGACTCTAAACCAGGACAGCTTTATTTAGCTAATAACACCAATAATAGCTAATAACACTAATATTCACAAATGTTAACACATAATCAGAGCAGTGGTAACTACAATCAGTGTTGGGTAAGTTACTCTAACAAAGTAATTGACTACTAGCTACTAATTACATCTTCAACAGTGTAATTAGATTACTGTACTAATTACTCTCTCTCTCTTAAAAAGTATTGCAAATACTCATTTCTAAATCTCATATCAGCCTCGACCAGTTTAACGGTACAAGGACTGACATGAAACTACTCTTGTAATGCTTTCAAATAAATAATATGGAATTGCATTATTTATTCTTGAACTGACCAGTATATTTAAAGGGAGGTTACATTAAAAACATTAGACGTTAAATTTTGATGTTAAATCCACTACCGTTTTCTATAGAATTGCATTTAATGCAATTACATCAGAAGTACCTGTAATAAAATTACTTTTACTTAATACTCTTCCTTAATTACTTTTCTTTTTCAAGATAAAAATAATTAAATTACAGTAATAAATTACTTAGTAATACATTATCCCAACTCTGGTTAAAATTAACATAATACAATTTATAATAAAGTGACGTGATATGATATGTGATATGTGGCCAAGTATGGTGACCCATACTTGGAATTAGTGCTCTGCATTTTAACCCATCCAAAGTGCACACACACAGCAGTGAACACACACCCGGAGCAGTGGGCAGCCATTTTTTTTGCTGCGGCGCCCGGGGAGCAGTTGGGGGTTCGGTGCCTTGCTCAAGGGCACCTCAGTCGTGGTATTGAAGGTGGGAGAGAGCTCTGTACATTCACTCCCCCCACCTACAATCCCTGCCGGTACGAGACTCGAACCCGCAACTTTGGGTTATGAGTCCGACTCTCTAACCATTAGGCCACGACTTCCCCATAATAAATGTATAATAAGTCATTTTAGATGTTCTAGAAAATAAGATTTAAACATTCAAGGTAACTATACAATTATTTCAGTCTAATTTATCTGTGAAGAAAACAAGTATTATTTTTACTGCGGTGGTACTGGTATATTGGAGTGGTAATACATTTCTGTGAACTATACCACATTTTAGGAAAAATTAATCAAATCAGATTATAAAGTGACTCAAGTTAAAAAAAACAAACAAAAGCAATGCACACAAAAAAAGCAAACACACACAAACACACCTGATGGTTGGAGTCCATTCCTACGTAAGAGTTCCGTGAGCTGCAGTCGACCGGTGGCGTCTCCTCCTGTGCAAAATCAGACATCTCTATTCCACCCCCTGGATCCCTGCACACACACACACAAAAGGTTAGTTACCTAGCAACACTAACAGAGGAACAGCCCTGAGGGTTCAAGAGAGTTAATGTCATTTATTATCAAACTTGCACAGCAGCTCAGGCACCGACAGAGAGATCATTTCTAGCGTCTCTCTATCTAATGTCTGCCACCCATTAGACAGAGATCCACCCCTCCTCCCTTCACTTTTTGGGAGATTATACCGTTTTTAATATTTTTAGGAGGTTTATTTTGCTTGGCCCCCAAAGGATAAAATGTTGTGGTGAATGGTAATCCCACTGCTAGAAATGGGCGGTTGTTTTATTTCATTCGGGACGTACATGCGTGTCTCTGGAACAATTAGGAACACATGAGCTCTTCATATCATATACCGTATTTCCTTAATTAGTGCTATCTTACCAACCAGGAATGCCCCTCCAGACGTGTGTTTATAGTCCATTTAAGAGACTCTCCATTTCTCTTTATTTCATAGAGATAAGAATGCAAGAAAATAAGACATGTGTTCTTTTCTAATACATGAAAAGTTGTTGATGTCTGTAAAAAAAACTTTGCTAAAATGCTTGATTCATGATTTGAGTGATTTACAGTGTTTACAGTGCTTGCTCTCCTAGAAAATGTGCAACCTAGCAATTATCTCACCTCTGAAAGTTTGCAGACCGTTTCTGACTCTTCTGAGTGAATGAACAAAAGCATCAGCCTGTGTGTGTTGGTTTATAAGGCTCTATTTCAGTTCTCCCGATTAACCCATTTCCCTCCTCCCTTTTTGTCTGTCTCAGTGGGTGATGAATAGATCCAGCATGACAGCAGATTAGTTCTCAGAAACACCTCTACCGCTGAGCAACAGTCCCTTTAATCAGAACTTTACTGAGCTGAACCAGAACCTTTCTGAGCAGAATCAGAATCGTTCCTGTGAAGATTCAAAACGTGAAATGATTTTAAAAGCTTTTCTTAAATTGAATCATTACCTTCCAGAGCCAAATCAGAACGTTTCTAGAGAAGAATTAAACCCTGAGATGATTCACAATGTGTCTTGGAATGATTCAGAATATGAGACGATTCTAACCCGTGTCTGAGCCAAACCAGAGCCTTCCTAAGCTAAATCAAATCGGTTTATACAAAATAAAAAATATTACCTGTGCAGTACATTTTGTTATGGCTTATGAGAGAAAACCGTGATTCTTACCCAGGCCCGTTCGAGTCTACCTGCCGGGTGCCGGTACCCTCACGTTGGTGCTCTGCCCCCTGGCCCCGTCCCTCGCTCCCTTTGGCCCGCAGCTCCACCACCTCCCCCTCATCCAGCGCAGTGTGCAGGCGATAATTCACTGCCTTCAGCAGCGCAAACATTCCTGCTATCACCCCGCAGTAGATACCCACAATCACCATTGTGGGGGGCAAGGCCTACAGAGAAAGAGAGACACAGTAAGAGGTTTAAAATGAGTTGAAAAAGTATTTTTGTGATTTTGAACAAATATATATTATTTATGTTTAAAGAAAATAACACTTTTATTCAGCAAAGAATGCATTAAATTGAAAGTAATGACAGTAAAGACATTTATGTTATAAAATATTATTGATATATATATATATATATATATATATATATATATATATATATATATGATATTTCAAATAAATGCTCTTCTTTTGAACTTTCTATCCATCAAATAACCCTGAAAAAAGAAAATGCATCACAGCTTAACACAATGCATAACACTTTTCAATATTAATGATAATAAAAAAAAGTTTCTTCAGCCCCAAATCAGCAAATTAGAATGATTTTTGAGGGATCATATGACACTGAAGACTAGAGTAACCGCTGCTAAAAATTCAGCTTTCCCCTGACAGAAATGAATTACATTTTTAAAATATATTAAAATAGAAAGCAGTTATTTAAACTTGTAAAAACAAAATGATCTATATTATAGTTTTTACTGTGTAAAATGCAGCCTTGGTGACCAGAAAAGTCTTCTTTAAAAAAAAACATGAAAAAACCTTACAGACCACAACTTCTGAACATTTGTATACAATCTTTAGATCTATCATTGATCTATTCATTTTACCCATCAAATAAATTTTTTTTTTAAAGCCACCGCATTTCAAATATTGACATTAAAGCAAACCAAAGCACTGGGGGTATGATATGCTGAGCTCACATATTCCAGCCTATTAACATCATTCTGTTGTATAAATATCATACACAAATATAGGACCGTGTTATACAGAGTTACAGGGTTATGAAAAGAGGCAACAATATTTCATTCGTAACCAGAAGACAGAAGCTAAAAACAGCCTTGCACTGAATGGACATCTGTCTCTAGCAAAGCCACCTAACACCATACTGCCCTAAACACCTCTCCATATCTGACACACACACACACACACACACACACCCAGACCCATATTCTTCAATATTCATTCACAAAAAACACACACATCACCTCACTGATACAGATATTGCAGCACTACTGTGGGTCTTTACATTATATTGTTTAGCTGTTGTTTAAAGGTAATTGAGCATTCAAGCAGAACCTAGATGGATGGATCTGTGCTGGAAGTTAAATATGGACTGAGTGGCACCAGTCTCTCCATCTGTATAGACCTGCCCTGATACCTCACCCACAGAATGAGCATGGCTTCAAAATTAACACACAGTATTGTCTATTACAAGTATCTTCTTAAAATAGACTGCAAACAGGAGTATAATGTTACATGTTACATCATGGTGCAAGAGTTGCTATGACAAAGATGGAATCTGTACAGTTTTTCCTGCATTTTTTGTAATGATTTTGGAATAAAATATGTTGAATTAGTTTAAATATGATAAGATGTGCCAAACTTGAGAGTACTATACTTTGGTGGCTGAAAGCATAATTAAAATGAGCTGATATGCGTTATAAACAAAGCCACTGTGGGATGTTTTTTTTTATTGGCAACTATGGTTCCATGAAAAAAACTTTAAAGGGGTCATATGATGCTTTTTTAAAGATCATTATTTTGTGTATTTGGTGTAACAGAATATGTTGACATGCTTTAATGTTCAAAAAACACATTATTTCAAATACTGTACATTATTGTAGGTCCTCTATGCCCCGCCTTTCTGAAACGCTTCATTTTCTACAAAGCCCCTCCTTCCGACAAGCGCAGTCTGCTCTGATTGGCCAGCTGACCCAGTGCATTGTGATTGGCCGAACACCGCAAGCACTCGTCGGAAATGTAACGCCCCTTATCATAATCGTGAGCTTCATCTTTCAAAATAAATGTAAAGACAGAGCCTGAAAGGGGAACAGAGTCTCGTAACAGACCAGACGCAGTGATGAAGCTGGTGTGTGTTTGCAGTACACAAGCCACGGTTATGACAGCTGACTCCACTGTGATCTCTCTCTCTCTCTCTCACACACACACGCACGCACGCACACACACACACACACACACACGCGCACACACACGATGCGCAAAACTCCGCATTTGAACAGTCAATAGCAAATACTTAAACTAATAACAAAACAGTAGCTGATTCAGAAGCGCCAGATTGTCATAGCAAAGTCAGAATTACCTCCTCTCCTAGGTTCACGAAAGGGTCGTCCATAAAATGCATTGCTGTTCTGTTGTAAGTAATCTTAAAGATTCCTAAATGCATCTACTTTCGGAAGGCCAAATAAAGTGCTTTTGCTTTCGCCTAGAAACACACAGCGTCTCCCTGACATGGCTGCTTCAACACTAACTGCGGTTACTGAAATCACGCCTTCTTTCTTTGCATGCACATTTGGGCGGTATTATGCAAATATTTCCACATAGTGAGGTAGATATGTGGGGGCGTGTTAGAACGAGCCGTTTTAGGGGGGCGTGGCAGAGTCTTAACTTTGATAAAGAATATCTCTTTGGTTTTGAGTCTTTAGTCTTTGCAACTTCAGGGATCTTATCTATGCACAATCAGCTTGTAACTCTCCAAAGAGAAAGGGAAACTTGAAATCGCATCATATGACCCCTTTAACATTTGGAAGGAAACACAGCAAGACATTTTAAATTAGTAGAAAACAAGCCATTAGTGTGTCGTTTTGAGCTAATATCATTCAAAAGTTTAATTTCACAAGATTCTTTAAAAAAAAAAAAAGGTCTTATTCAGCAAAAACACATTAAACTTGACCAAAAGCGACAGTAAAGACATTTATAATGTAAAAATATATTTTTTAAATAAATGCTGCTCTTTTGTAAACCCAAAATGTGTTTTCTATGGTAGTGCCAGAGTGTTATATTAATGCATGTTAAAGTTTCTTTCCTCTGTGTATTTTTTTCTAAACAAGGGAAGTCAAACAGTTTGGCTCACTAACCTTCTTTAAAATATCTTCTTTTGTGTTCCACAAGAAAGTAAGTCAAACAGCTTTGGAAAGACATGAGGGCGAGTAAATTATGACAGAATATTCATATTTGGCTGAACTATCCTTTTAGAGCAGACAGAGACTAAACACAGACCAAACCTCATGACAGCACGTCTGAAATACCCAACTCTGCTGAAAAACCAAGTCAAAACCACAACAAACACTCATCAAACCAGAACAGAACCGATCCAGTGGTTTCAACAAACAGACCCCAGACCCACATCGCTGTCAACAAGAACTCCCACACCTTTAGAACACATTTCCACGACTTTTTTCCAATTGTTAAAGAATACTGGAAATTCTATTTTAAAAATACTACATTTTCAGAAATGTCATTCACACAAAACAATGGATACGCAAAGAAATATCACAGCGCTGAGCATAACCAGAAAACATACAAGTAATATACATTTCCTTGACCTTCCCAGATCTGGAAATCACAATTCTAAAATATTTCTAGGACTTCCATGACCACGGAAACGCCGTAGGGGAGATGAAGAGAAACGGGGAAGAGAAATACAGCCTGTGTGTACTGGAAATAGAGAGATGAGCTAGAGAGAAAGAGAGGGGGATGGAGAGATGGATAAAAATGAGGAAAGACTAGATAGATAGAGATAGGCTGATAACGACTAAAGGATGGAGAGAAGAAAAAAACCGACGGCTGCATCTCTCACCATGTAGAGCGTGAACGGGAGGCAGAGCAGCAGCAGCCACAGGTAAAGGTGAAGTGCGTTCACGAAGGTGTTCTGGTGGGGGTCGTAGTACCATCCACCCGTCACCGATGCCCACACGCCCTGCCGCAGGATCTGGAGGGTCTGCGACCCCATATTTACCCCCTATACCCTCTCTAGCCGTCTCGGCGCAGGAGATAACAGCGCTGGCCCGTCGAGCCCCGTCGCAGCCATCTTCTTCTCTGTGGTCCTCCAACGCTGCGCTTCCCGTCCCATCGTGCTCTGCGCGCACCCGGCTGCTCGCGTACAGCTCGCCAGAAAGTGGCACTGCGCGTGCTGGAGAGACGCGATATTTTGCAGCGCCCCCGCGCGGCGAACGCGAGTATCGACGAACAAAAACATCTAGGGCGATACTGTGATTTTTTTGCAACCCGTTTACCTAAATACATTATTTAATAAATAAATCAATCCCTATCGAGATCCTCTTAGTCAGTTTGCTGGTACACGAAAGAATATCGTGGAAATTTTTAAAAATCTATGAATACATCGTACCGTTATGTATTGTTACTGTAAGCACGACTACTGTGCGCATCCAGGTGGAATAAACTAGGTCAGGACTGGCAGTATTTGGGTTGAACTAATTGTCACTGTTATAAGAGGAAAAACTCAATTCTCATCAGAACATGTCTGCTGGCTATGAGTCTGTTTTAGTGCACTGAATACAGAGCGCAGTTCACATTCACGTAGCAGCGTTAAAGATGCACGTACCCATATGAACACAAGAGGGCGCTGCGCACTGTCGCATCTCTATCGGAAAACCATTAAACGCAATCTATTGAACCACTTACAAAAGGACATACATAAACATTTTAATCAGAAAAAGATTGTACAGGTTTTTTTTTTTTTACGTGTATTTTTTTACTGTGAGTGACAGAATTGCATAATACTACAACTCAGTAATACTGAAATATAGAAAATGACATTAAGATGAAATAAAGACATTTCAGTTTCCTTATTACAAAAAGTATTAAATTATAAAGAAAAAGCATTTATATACAATAATCGTAAATGTCCACCCTTGGCTAGCTGGTGCAGAGAACTGCCCACATAAGTCCTGCAACGTTACAGTTGTTTGTGGCTGACCAGCATGTGTGTCACTGTAGGCGTGCACGTTTCTCAGGTGGTGGTTTGTTGGGTGTAGTTTGTGGGGCTGGCCGAGCAGGGCCCGGAGGGGCCGGAGGCTTTGTTTCTCGCTCTTCTGGAGGCTTCACTGTCTCAACTGGCACTTCAGGTTCTTTCTTTACCTCCACTATGGATAGAGAGTGAGTTTATAAAAATCACTTCTCATCAGCAATGAGTGCAGGATATTTCTAATGTCAACAAAGCTTTAGCTTTTCTTTTCTTCTATATTAGTGATGAAAGCATTTAATCGGCTAAATTATCCAACGGACAGTCAGTCTTCAATCAAACCACATGTAAACAGTACTGTATTATGCTGCTTTTCCAAATATATGAATTACACATGTAATTACATCCTAGTATTTTTTAAATGCAAGTATGATTTGGAAACATGTAGGTATACAATAAATGCATTGTCCATTGTGCATAATCCATACCATCTACAGTAAATCTGACAAATGTCAAGGTTTATTTCCCCAAGTTTTGCCATTCAGATGAGTTTTATAATTTACAAATAACTAAACATGATTTTCATCTGTAGCGTGTGATAAGGTGAGACCGAGTCAAGTATTTGCATACCTGGGACAGGCTTCTCTCCTGGTTTGGACTGAAACAGACATGAAATGAGAATTGAAATGGGATATGTTGCTCTAATTAAAACAACATTCAGAAACAAGTTAGAAATGTTTCATGTGTATATTGTTAATACCTGATAGAAAGTTGGGGGAAATTTATTGCGCAGGTCCAGTAACAGCGTGTCAACTCTCTGCCTTTGGAACAAAGAACTCGGCTCCTCTTTCCGCTTAGATTTAGGCTTTACCCTTTCTATAAATCACACATACGAAACACAATTTTAGATAGGTACAGTTGTACTTGTTGAGATTGTGCTTCCTGCTGCTGTGTGCGTGTTCTCACCTTTCTCCTCCTGCTCTTTAAAGTGCCACCAGTACCCTTTGGATGGGTGGTATCTGCAGAAAGACATCGCCTCATCAAACGCAGACTGAATCCCATGAACCGCTGAGAGCTAGATCACATCAAAACAAACAAAATATTAATGTTCATACTGATAGAAGTAGGAGTTAGGAAGATTGTTCTAGGGTTATAACGCACCACTCTGGAACTGATGACTGATCCCAAGTCAGGCGCTTGATACACCACTCCAGCTATTATATAGAAGTCAGCAAGAGGGATCACTGGGAAGGGAAACACATACATGTTTTTTTTCTGCAAAGAAATTGAATGTCAGCATGTTGAATGTAAAGTCAACAAAAAGGATCCCATTTATTGTGATAAAGAACATTCCTGGTCTTTCAGAATGAAAAAAATAGCATTGTAATAATAATAATAATAATAGTAGGTAATACTAAAATGTAGTAACTCCTGAAACAATAACTCCTGTCACCTAAAATTCTCTTGCAATTCAGTATCTCAAAGAAGTAATGTATAAGCAAAAACAACTAAAGACAGAAATGTGACGCATTAGTGATAAAAGCATTTAATCTATTAAATGTTCAAATGCATAGTCAATCTTCAAGCAAACCATGTATAGAAAGTTTGCAAATAAACTACAACAACATCCTATGTTTAAAATGTTTTGAAATTGCATCATTGTCCTTTTTGCCATTCTGGTGCACTTTGTATCAAACATTGTCCTTTGTGTTAAGTATCATGTCCATTAACTTGACCTGGATTGCAAGTCAACATTGCAAATGATACAAAAAAAGCATCTGAAAATACAACGCAGACACCAAACCAAAAATATCCTTGTATTACAATATTAAAAGCAAATACATCAACACAGGCAGCAGAAACTGAAGAGCAGTGCAGAAACTCACCTTGTGTTGGTGACTGTCTCTGCTGTTTTCTGATGATGTACAGAATCGGCTCCTGTGCGTGAAGCAAAATATATTCCACACCCACCATCTGACTACACACACAGAAAACACAATTAGACACAAACACAGCTCTACCTATTTTAATCGAATAGGAAATCAATCAGTAGTGACAGTAAAATAAACACACATGCATGTATTATACCTGTATATCAAAAATATTACCGACATGATTAAGAGTATGCATCTGATGTATGTATAACACCGTTTTAATGGCATAGTGCAGTGCTTACTTGAGGTGATCCAGGGTTAATCTCTGCATTTTCACCACCTCGTTGTTGCAGGTTCGATCATAGAAGGGGTTACTCCTCTCGGAGAAATACTCCAGTACGTTGCTGGGGTTCAGGATGGGCACCCAGCCACTGTCCACCCACGAGATGCCCAGCAAATTATCTGACCAACACAAAGCACAAAATCATATTCGAATGAGAACATTTACGTCAAAGGAGTAAAATAATAAAATAAAAAACATCGTAGAAAATGCAGAGAATACTGCGGGCCTCCTTCTACAACAAACTATAGCGACAATGCTAAAGAGCACTGTGATTACGTTGGTCTGACAAAGCCAACATTTTGATGAGCTGTTTTGCATTTCTTTTACAGCATTTCAATATGATGACGAAAGGAATTTAACAGAAATAAAGCTGAGAAAAAATAAAACCATTTGTAAATTAATTCGCGAAATCTCTGAAACTACCTCTTAAATCCACCGACGCCATCTTCGCACTCAGACGCAGGCTGATGACAAAATAATCGTCGACGCTTTTCTTCTTCGTTTAATTTAATGGCGAGTTGCGAACCAACTTCAAAGGTGCATATCGCCACCTACTGTGATGGAGTGTGAAAAGAATGAACAAACCCTCCTATATCTTATTATATAACCCATTATTCTTAATAAATCTCATGACTGCATGCATTTGTTTTCCTGAATTTGGACCGTCATTTAATAAGCTGGTTATAGTCAGAGGCGGACAGTAACTAAGTACATTTACTTGAGTATTGTACTTAAGTACACTTTGAGTATCTGTACTTTACTTGAGTATTATTTTTTCTGGGAACTTGTGACTTTAACTTCACTACATTTGAAAGACAAGTATTGTACTTTTCACTCCACTACATTTCTATGAAGGTCCTCGAAGTCATTACTACTGTATGTAGCAGCTCTGAAAGTCAGTGGGTGATTTCTTTCTTCTCTAAAAACAGTTTTTTTTTCAGACAGTTTATCAGTAATCACTCTTGTAGGGCTACATGAAGTGATTTCCCAGCATTTTTTGAACACTGATCCGTTCCAAATGTGATATTTATTTACAATTAAATAATAAGAATTTAATATTGTGGTATATGTTAGACACAATATTGTCTGATTTTGCTAAATTGTGTAGGTGAAAATATTAGCTATAAAGCCACAGAAGCCCTGTTGTGCGTCTCCTAATAAAACACAAAAGGTGTTTGACTGAAGCAGCACTGCACAGACTGTTCTGTGTGTGACATTAAAGTACAGCGAGAGCGATTAGACAGCATTTCAAATGTTTGTTTTGATGTCAAATAAGTCTTGCTGCTTTGCTTTTTTGTTAAAGCAGTGTTGCTGTTGTAAAGTTATACATCTACAGTTGTGTTGCTGGGTTTTAAAGCAGGTTTGATTTTTGTTTTCTTTCGTATCACTCTGTATTTACAGGATTTCACTGTCCACTCTGTTCAAATGTGGATGAATGGCTACACATAGATGTGCGCACACACTGTCAGAGCTGTGTGAGATCACTACCATCTTGCTTTTGTGGGGGTGGGTAGGGGTGCTTTACTTTTGGTACTTAAGTACTTTTAAAAGCAAGTACTTCTGTACTTTTACTTAAGTAAAAATCTGTCTTTACAACTTTTACTTGTAATGGAGTAATATTTGACCAGCAGTATCTGTACTTTCACTCAAGTAATGGAGTTGAGCACTTTGTCCGCCTCTGGTTATAGTAAATTCCTGGCATCCTACTGCTTGTAATTCTTCCTTAAGAATCCTCCTTTCTATTTCATATATCTTACATATCTTCATAACATGCTCTACAGTTTCCTCTATTAAACAAACATCACATAGACCTGTGTTATGTTTCCCTATAATGTGTAAAGTATGATTTAGATTTAAATGTCCTGTTCGTAAATGTGTGAAAATAACGTGTTCTTTTCTATTTACGCTGTGAATTATTTAGCTTTTCTTTATGG